CTCCCCCTCCCCCGACAGCTTCCGCGGCCGCGGGCGGGGGGCCTCCCGGGAAGAGGAGGCAGGTGACTGCAGTCGCATCCGAGCCTCTGCGGACGCGGGCCCCTGGGGGGCGGTGGATTTGCTGCGGGGACGGGAGGAAGGGACTGGGGCTTCCCCCCAGGGGACCACCCAGAGCCTCGCTGTTTGTCTCCTGCCGTGGCACTGCTTTCTTTTAAGGAAAGGAAGCCAAAAAGCCTCAACTTTGCCGAGACTCCTCTGGGTTCCCCGAGGGCACTCTGCCATGGGACCGCCCGGCCCCGGTGGCCGCCCGCCGCCCAGCCCTGCCCTCTGCGTGGCCCACCCAGGCGGAGGGGGCCTGAGGCGAAGGCTGCCTGCGCCCCCCGGGACTCCACCGTCGCCTGGAAGGCAGTCGGAGCAGCGCGCGGAAGGCTGCCTGCAGGGTCTGGGGGCCTCCTGGGAGCGTCAGATGCGAGGAGAGCCCGCAGGCCAGAGGGCTGGCCAGAAGGGGCTGAAGACGGGCCCCTAGGAGCCCAGCAGGCCCCCTGCAAGGGGAGGCCGGGGATGCAACCGCCGGCGGGGTGGGGGGCGGACTCTGGGTCCCAGAGGGAGGGAGGTCGGTCAGCTCTGCCGGGCATGGGCATGGGATTTGCTGCCCATGGGAAGCACAGGGCCCGGCGTGCCGCCAGATGGTGACAGCACAGCCAGGGCAGATTGGGTAGCCCCGGGAGGAGGGGGGACGGGGCAGGCGTTGATGGCAGACAGGCCCGGAGCATCCTGGCCGGGCCGCGGCCTCTGCAGGCCCCCGTTCAACAGATGGGACATGTGAGGGCCTGAGAGACGGGAGGGCGCAGCCCAGCGGTCACCTCTGTGCCGACCCACTCCCGTGTCCTCCCCTGACGGCCTCGGAGGCCACACACAGGGCCCTGCCAGGGCGACCTGCCTTCCAGGAATGTCTCTGCACGCCGGTGACACACACCTTCACCACTGCAGACCAGGCCATCCAGAGTGACCGGCCATGGGGGCCCAAGGACTTGGGAGGGGGCTTCAGAGCCTTGCTCTGCCCCGATCTCCAGACAGCATGCCGAGGGCAGAGAGCCTGGCTCTGGGGAGCTCTGGCGCAGCCGGGGGTCCATGTGGCTCACCTGTCCTGCTCAGGGTCCCCAGACAAGGGACGCAGCACCTAGGAGCCAGCGGGCAGGGAATGGGAGGGTTTCTCCCAGACTCAGTTTCCCTACCCACCGAGTGGTAGTGAGAACAGTTGGTGGGTTCTGGAGATCACCCCAGGCCCTGCTAAAGAAGGCCATACTACAGTGGGACAGGAGGCCCCAGAGCTGTCCCCAGAGCCGCTGTTAGTCACCGCAAGGAAGTCCACCAGGACCCTGAGCCCCAAGGAGAGGGGAGGAGGGCTGGGGGCTTGATCGCTGTGAAACTAGAGGCCCACGCGGTGCCTTGGCCCCCTTGGCCTCTACGGAGGCCTCCAGCTTTTTTGCCTCCACCTCCAGCCTCCACCAGAATGCAGACTCAAGTCCCTTCAGGGAAACACCATCTAGCCACCCCCCTCACGGCCCCTCTGAACTCCAACGAGTGGATCAGGCGGCTCTTGCCGTGGCTCACTCGTGGCCAGGGAGGGGCACACCCCACAGCCCACCTGAGCCCCTTCTTCTCTGTGGAGGGTTCGTGGAAGCCCCCGGTCACCAGAGCCAGGGTGTCCCTCAGCCCTCCCACGTGTCAAGCCTCTTGGAACGCTGGAAGGAAGACGCCCAACCCTGGGGGCCTGAGGTCACTGCCCCGCTCTCGCCCCGGGACACCTGGGGCTGGCGATGTCTGCCTCCGCCCAGCTCCAGGGCAAACCTGCCATGTGCTCCGGGCACTAATCCCTCCCGCTGGGCAGCTCTGCCCACAGGGCCAAATGCTGCCCTAACCTCACATCCCCAGGGCGAACGTGCCATCTTCCGCCCACTGTTCCCGGGGCTGCTGGGGCTGCCTGGACATTTGTGGCTGTCTCCTACTGACCTCACGAGGGCAGGGGCATCCCAGCATGGTGGGTGCAGGCACGGGAGACGGCTTGGTTCAAGCCCCAGCTCTGTGCTGACCCAAGGTCACTCTGACCTTCTGAGCCCTGTTTTGCAGAATGAAAATAAGAGCTCTAGCCGGGCTCGGGGGCTCAGCCTGTCATCCCGCGCCTTGGGAGGCTGAGGTGAGTGGATGGCCTGAGCCCGCGGGTTCGAGACCTGCCTGGGCAACTTGGTGAGACCTCATCTCTACAATAAATCAAAAATCAGCCGGGCGTGGTAGCGCACGCCTGTCGTTCCAGCTGCTTGGAAGGCTGAGGCGGAAGGATCGCCGGACCCAGCGGGTCGAGGCTGCCGGCCACTGCACTCCAGTCTGGGTGACAGAGTGAGACTCCAACTCAAAAAAAAAAGAAAGAAAAAAAGAAAAGAAAAAGAAAAAGAAAACAAGAGCTCGAAGCCATCCGCCCTGCACCTCGGGACTGTCCAGCATGCAATGGCATTCACATTGGTGGACAGCGAGTGGGGTCTCTGTACGCGCCACCCCCCCCCCTCCTGCCAACTCCGTCCTCCCGCGGGGGCCCTCAGATCTTGCCATCCCCCCCGGGGGCGCCTTCTCCGCAATCCTGACCCATCTGAGAACCTTCCGCCCCATGCCTGTGCCTCTGTCTTGCAGGCCGGTGGCACGGCTCGGTCTCGCTTACTGAGTCAAAGGCCAAACCCTAGTCTCCGGCAAGACAAGGACTGTTTCTAACGTCTCTTTCCTGCCTCCCTTTGGGACCAAAACAGCCCCCGGCTCCTGCCCGCCAGGGTCCTACCTCGCCCTCACTCTGCCAACGGCCCTGGTGCTGACATCTGCCATTCTGGCTCCTCGGAGCCTCAGTTTCCCCATCTGCCTTGAGAGCTTGACAAGGAACAAGTAAGGCCGTGTCCAATAAACGTCCCCATGAGGGCCAGGCCCCCTGGAACCGGGAGAAGCTGCTGAGTGTCCCCCGCGCCCCCTTGTGCTGGGCAGCCTAGGAGCAGAGGTCCTCCCCCAGAAGATGTGACCCCCATCCTGCAGATCACCCCCAGTGCCTGCCGCACCCGTGGGAGCCAGGCGCCCCATGTGTGCCCAGAAGGGAAGTAAGATGGGGATGGGGATGGTCCCGGGGCTCCCATCAGCCCACAAGGCAGGCACAGCTCAGCACGGCGGAGCACCTACTGCATGCAGCTGGCTCAGCCCTCAAGGCCAGAGAGGACAGAGAAGATGGGGTCCCAGGCTCCGAGGAACTGGTCATCTTCAGAGTGAGTCACAGAAGGCCACGGGACACGCTAGGGTGGACGCCACTTCCGGAACACAGGAGCTCTTATCCATAAGGCCAAGCCCAGCCCCATCCCCAGGCCATCGCCCCCAGGCCATCACAACCCCACCCCCAGCATCAGACTGGGAGACCCACCCTCAGGCCCTGGGAAGGAACCTCCCGAAGACAAGAAACTCTCAGAGGGT